TTTTTTCCTTCCCCTCTGGAAACACAGTGGTTGGCAGTCTATCCAACCTACAGGCATGCAGCTGGACAGACAAGCTGCCTGTAGATAGAAATTCTGACTGCATCCCTTAGCTAACCTCAACCCCAGGATGCATGTTTATCTTTGCATTACCAGGGTACCAAGCTGCTGCAGGGTAACGAGAAGGAGCTGAGCAAGGTAAGGATCCACTCTAAATTGCCATTTTTTAAAATTAAGACTGGTGGGGCCTCATATAAAAGCCAGCAAGGTGGATGGACAGAAGTGCTGGTCATGGCAGGTCTCATTTGCTTGAATTAGAAGAGTCCTTAAGGCTTCAGGTGGGTGAAAATCACTGCAGTCCCTCGGTGACTGCCCAGGTGACTCCACTGAGCATTCCCAAAACTTGCTCCTCTTACAACAAAGGCCCCCCACTTACACCAAAGCTTCTCCCAGCCAGTACCAAGTCCCTGACTCCATAAGCCAAGGCACCACCTTATTTTATTCCAAGCCTGGCTAACATGATAGAGATCACAGGAATACTAAAAATGTAATAACTCAATGTAGAGGAGAGGGGGGGAAAAAAAGTGTTGAGTTCATGACTAATCTTTGCAGCTCTTGCCATAGACAGGATTTGTACAGACATGTTGATTTTTTATAAAAATAGTAAATCGTATTACACCCATGCTGCAAGACCAAAGATTCACAACGATACCTTAATGCAGCTTAAATAAAAATAGTACTACCTGAGTCAATCTGAGCATGATAATGCTTTGTAATCCCACACTCTTAGGGGATGAACAGTTGTATAGCAGTGAATCAACACGAGATACTTGCATTAGGAGCCACTCCTTTTTCATGCTATACAGCAACATCTCTACAAAATGGAGAAGGCAGGTGGGGTTTGGGGAAGCACAGGGCACGGTGGGGAAAACAGGGCAATTACAGAGCCCTGCTGTCTTCCAGCTTGGAAATCTTGGCTAAGAGTTTACTTTTTAAACAGAAAGCCTGCTCTAATTTTTCCCCAGCACAGTAAAGAATTAAGGAAAAAGTTTGAATTTTAAAAGTTTTTGAAAAGTGAGAAATCCCAAAGCCTGTGAGCACTCACACAGGAGATTCATTCATAAAAACAAACACAGCTGAACAGCAGTGTTGCACAGTCATTCTGGGTTTTTTTCTTGACATCCTTGAATGAGTAAACAGTGAATATGGAAAGTAAATGCGCAGTACAACACAGAAAGGTCTAAACAGAGGAGACATCAGTAAAACCTATTTATAATAAGAATGTAAAAGCTGAAGACTCAAATACCAATTTTTAAAGGTGGCTAAGGAAAAAATTGGCAGCTTTGATTGAAGACATGTTAAACCATAATGAATTATTTTCAATTACTTTGTTACATAAGCTACTCACAAAAGGTACTTCATTTGCTACTGTGCTCCCATTTGTTCTTTTTTAAGACACATTTTCCAGTTAATTGCACTTCCATCTCCCCTCCCCGTACCCACAGTATAGATTTATGTATGGCAGACATGTGGCCCTCACAGCTCCCTCCAGACAGCAGGGAAAGGTAACAGGAAAAGTTAACAGAACTGAAAGGTCTTCCTTTACCCAGGAGAACTTGAGTTTGAGTTATGAAACAAGGCAGATTTTCAAGGCTGTAGTGCAGATGATGCCCAGGGGAAGGAGAACACAGCCTCAAATTCCCACTTATCTTGCCTGCTCCCTTCTTCTCTGCCCTGGTGCTCAGCCTGGCACTGCTGCTGGGATTTTTTCTTCCTGCAGAGCCTGAATGTTCACAGGAGGGGTAATCCCATGGGACCCTGGATATGGGGATGAAGGTAGGCTATAGAGAAGGCAGAGAAATGCTGACAAGGACAGTAGAGGCAGAGCCAAGCTGAAAGGCACCAGGACTCAAGGAAGAGGAGATCCTGGTGATGACCAGAGCCAGGTCATGGGGACATGCCCATGGCCTTGCTCTGTGTACAGAACATACAGCATATTTCCAACAAACTTCCCAACACCAATGGCAAGAACATTCCCTGACTTCCATGTCTCGCCACAGGTGATCCTGAGAAGCTCAGCCCTCCAGTACTTCTTGCAACCTCCCATTCAGGGGGACCCCCATTCCCACAAACACAAAGGCTGCAGCGGTCTTAACTCAGCTTTCAGTTTAAAAATAGAACGTTTCTCAAAGCCAGTTTGGTAGGACAGAACTGTCAGTCCGGCTGCAAAAAGTTTCACCTTCATGAATCAAACACACCAGCTTTGGACCAGAGAAGCAGGGAGCCCTGTTCCAGACTCAGAGCCCCACATCCATGCTAGCAGCAGGCAGTTTCTGAAATGATGTTCACACCACCTCATGTCCCATCCTCTGCCTTCCCTGGCCATGGGCCACAGCCACTTATGTGCTCCTCCAGAACAGCACAGAGGTTACAGCAATGCCACCACCATGGCCCCCTGCCGTGCCCCTGGGACAGAGACAGTCCCCACAACCACATCCCAGCTCCAAACTCCTCCACAGTCACCCCAGCAGCACCCTGAAACATGCCAAGGCACGGGGCCCCTGACCCAGCTGTCCATTCAGGTGTCCTGTGCAGGGTGGCCTTGATGGGTGCATGTCCCATAATGTGTCTGCCTCCCTGGTCTTCCCTGCCAGAGCTGCTTATGTGCTTACAGGAGGAAACACAGGTAAGCAGCTTGCTGCATCAGGCCCTGTGGCATCCCAGCAGGAGAGCATCCAAATGTCAATTCCCCCTTCCATGGCCAGCACCCTCACTTCCAGATGTGTGTAGCTGGGGTAAAATTCAAGCTACCTTTAGGCAGGTTCATACACATTTTAGTTTCACACTTTACTCTGAAGGCATCCATGTGCCACTGGCCATACATTACATTTGGGAAAATGCCCATCAAGCTCAGCGCTGGTCTGCCTTCAAGTCTGTCTTTTGCTCCATGTTGAACATGAACTGATGCAGCTGACCTCTGTAAGGCTCTATACAGGAGCTGTTACGCTCTGGAGATGTACCTTCTTCTGGTATGGATCATATGAATTCCCAAAATGAAACCACGGACACACCTGAACTTGAAAATGTGAGGAATATAGACCATTGAAGCATCAAAAAATGTCATGTACAGCACCCAACAACTCTAAATCTCTGTTAGCAAAAGTGCATCAGGAGCCCAAGCTCCAAGTAAAGACCACAAGAGCTTTTCAAAGCACTACACAAAGAGACTACACAGGAGAAAGACATATTAAACAAACAGTCTGGAGTATCAACAAGCGGTTTTTTTACTCATACCCTGTTCAGGTGTTACCTGAAACAAGAAAACAATAAAATCCAATTTAAAGAGACAGTTTAAAATTACCTGGATTTTGCACCCATGGTATTACTGTCATCCATGTCATACTCCTCTCTCTGCTCAGAAGAAGAGTTTTGTTTCATTTTCCAACCTCTCAAAAAAGATCCACTGAATGTTCGGTCCCCATACAGAAATTAGCAATACAAACCGTGCAGGTTTACAATCCAGATCCCATCCTAGCTGCAGGGCTGGGGAAGAGGAGGCGTTCATAAGCTACTGCTCACAAGAGCATTCTGGTGAAAGGCACATGGGATTGGTGATTTATGCTTGTAAAACTCAAGTCTTAGAACATAAGCCTCAATAAGAATATAGGAATAGAATATATATATAGAATAAGAAAATAAGGATAAAACAGCTTACTAAGTAAGGGATGTTTTCATTGCTGAAAGAGGGAGTTGATAAGATATACATTTAAGGGGTGTTAAGTAAGCCCCTTACAAATACACAGTAACCATTTTCTAGCACAATGAAGACATATTTAAGTTGACAGACACACCAAACTCCATCATCCTTCCCATATTTAGGTTGACAGACACACCAAACTCCATCATCCTCCCCTGCCCTGAGAAATTACCAGTCCAGATGGCTACATTTCACCTGTATGGACACTTCAAATCAACCTGGGACCATGTGTATCAAAAGGCACCTGATCTGTGGGAAGTACACAGACTTGGAAGACAGAGAAGGCCATTAGAGGTTTGGGGCATTCCGCCACGGTTCATTACTCAGTCTGCACACACAAAAGCTCTAATGGCTTGTATCCTGTGCATAGGGAAATGCAACGAAAGAATGAGCTTCCTGAGGAATTAATGGGTAATTATATAATTTGGTTAATCTCATGGGAAAGAAATCTAGAATTGAAAAAGGAAATAGAGTAGGTATTTCTCTAGAAACAATGAAAACAAACAGCAAAGGGTGTTACAGAGCAGAGTCTCAGCTGGCACCATTGCAGAGAGCAGCTCCAGCAGGGGAAAAGAAATTGCACTGATTGACATCAGCATTTTGCACCTGCAATGACACCAATTGGCAGTTCTTAGCGATCTCATCCTCCTGCAGCTCTTGACTGATTTAATGTTTCACTTACTCACAAATGAGAACCTAATGAAGTGCATAAAAATGAAATACATGGAAGCCTTGGGTGCAGGCAGAACAAAATCAGTCGCATGTGGCAGAGATTAGCATGGGTTATGCAGCTCATATAACTCTCTGGAAGTTGCATTCCTTTAGATTAACACCTTGGACAGAACAGAAGGGAAAAAAAATCCTAAGGTTTCTTTCTGACACCGAAAACACTGCCCCAGTGGGATGTGTAGGCTTTTAGTAAAAAATGCAAAGTAATTTTTACAGATTATCCCTAAAGTCAAGTACTTTTTAAAAATGTAACAGTTCACTTATCCAATCTCAGGAAATTATTTTTAGTGCAAAGGTTATTATTAAGTGCAAATCTTAACATTTTGACAACAAACTCCTGCTTAAAGATTAGCCCTGCCAGCTTTAAAATTAAAGCACACCATTAACTCAGCCAATGCAAACTTCTGCACTCAATGCAGAACAAAAAACAAAGCCTGCATTTTTTACTTCTCATTTAGTTTTACTATTACTAAATTAAAGAGTGCCTTGAAAGGAGCAGGCTCTGCAAAGTACTCACCACCTATTTTGGAATCTCTTCAGAGAAAGTCCACGGGGCTCGATTACCTGGAAGAGAAGACACAAACCAAACATGCTTTACATTACAGTTCTTCTCTAAGTGACAATCTTCACACTCTTGGCCTCTCCTGCAAAAGCTACTACTCCCAGTGAAAAAAAAAAAAAAAAAAAAAAAAAAAAGTCTAAATATGCAAAAACCCTGCTCCAGTTTTTACCCTACAATGGGAAACAGCTTTGTTGTGTATTTGCATTTTATTATTTGTCCTGAAATAAGAAATATTTCCATGTTGAAAAATGCACAGATTTGTCTTGAATTCAGACAGCAAATTCTTCTGATGTTCAATAATCTGTTGAAATCACCCTTCTTATTTTAAAAAGTTTTTTGTAAAAAGTCATCTTTCAAAATAAGTAAGTATCGAGTTCAGATTCAGAAGATTTGCTTGGCTCATACCACAGAATATTACTAAACCAAGATGTAAAATCTGGAACAAAATAAAGCAAAAATATGAGAGAGCCAGTTCCAAGTTTACTGCCGCCACTAAACATTGCTCTGAAAGGTTAGAAATCACTTTTCTTTCACTGAACATGTGTCTCAAGGAAAAAAAATAAAGTAATTTGCATCCCATCAGCATCTGTCAGCTCTGAATGCTGAGGGTTCACAGCCTTCAAGGAGCCACAGATAAGAGCACCAGGAGCAAGGTTCACCTTCTCCCGTGATTCCTAATCTCTCAAAATCTGTGGATTAGAAAGTCGAAAGCAAGTGACTTGCTCTGAGTCCCTCTCTCACAGAGCTGACCATGATTTTCCTCTACCACCAAGGCCAAGCTCAGCTGGGAAGAATTCATCTTCTCCAACCCAATACACCACCAACTTCTTTCCTGCCAGATTCCAGTCTGACCCAGTAACCCTGTAACTTCTGCAAACAAAATCCCACTGTGTTCAGCTCCCAGGTGCCTCCAGCCCACACCTAGCACACACAACTGGTCTGCCCAATGCCAAACCCCAGACATCCCAGACAAAGCCTCCCAAGAATCTCCTCTGACACCTCACCATCCCTACAAGCAGGAGTTCCTGCTTTTCATTATACCACTCACATTCATTTCCACCGGCCCTAACCCCTACAGACACAGGGTTTCATATCTCTCCCCTTACAGCAAGCTGCTCTTTGTTGACACTGTAAACTCCTTGTGCCAATCCTACACCTTCTCTCCAGACCAAACACCCTTATTGCTTCCCATCATTCCTCTTGAGCCCTGTTATTCAGATCCTTGCTGGCCTTTTCCATTTTTTCACATCTTCCCTCAGGTGCAGTGCCCCAAGCAGGCTCTGGTACTCCAGCAATGCCAAATCACCAGGAGATCCCAACACTGGACACAAAGTCCATCCCCTATTTACGGAAGCACGTGTGTGCTGCTGTTGGGGCAGGATGAGGCTGGAAAAGCAATGTATGACCCACCATGACCCCACAACACTTTTCAGCAGAGGCCCTCCAACCACCCCTGAGTATTCTGTACAGCCAACCCATTCACCAGAGATAAATGCAAGCCCATACTAAAAGCCCATTTTGGTGGGAATGAGGGACCCTCCAAGGTCATCTTCTGGTTCTGTCCAAAGCTACTTGAAAAACAAGTAACTTTCTCCCCCCAAATATTTGTAATATCCCCTAGTTTGGTGCTACTTATTGAGCCTGAACCAGCATTTTATCAAATGCATCAGTAACAATGACCCATGCCCTGGGGTCCACTTTTGGAAATTCTCACCCAACACTAATTCTGAGCTTGATCACACACACAGTTAAGTCTGGATCATGGTCAGCACACTTACTTTGCACTATCCATAAGTTTCAACCAAATTTCTTTTCCCTAGTTTTTTTTTTTTTTCCTATGAATATAAAATCACCAAAAACTTAATTAGGTTTGGAGTAAATAATATCATCTGCTCTTTTTCTATCTACAGGACCTGTTAGCCTGCTCCAGAGAGTAATTAGGATGTCTGACATTATTTGTTCCAAACTAACCCATGCTGACTGTTACTCATAAGCACCCAGAAGATGACTAGGTGGCAAATAATTTATTAACTTCCAGAAAAACACTGTAATAAAAGTCGGAGTGACTGCACTGCAATTTCGTCTCCTCCTTTTAAAAAAAAAATAGCACTATATATTTTGGTTTTTGATTGTTATGGTAACCTCACAAATTCTTCACAGGTTTTAAGAAGTAAACACCAAGAAGAAATTGAAAAGAAATCAAGCAGCCAGCTGAAATACAGCTCCTTCTACAAATCACAAGAACAAGACAAGTGTCACAGAGGTGAGGTCAGGGTCACCACGTCAGCCATCCCCTGAAGGTGCCCTCTCCCCTGATGCCTGGTGAGTGATGCTGATGAATGGCTTGTACTGAAGACCAACCTTCCCACATGCATCCTCCCATCATCTGGGGAGCAGTTTCAAACAAACTCCCCTAAGGCCCAAAGAGCCTAGAAGGAAAAATAAAGGCAAAGAGAAAACCCCTTAAGTGTGTGCCCCCTAAATGACTGTGCTCCTACTTTATCCTCGTAGCTTCCCTCATCACGGCAGGTTTTAATTACACCAGTCTTCTGCTCCCAGGAAGCAAATTCCAATATATTTTCTGTTACCATGAAATTTTCTGTTACTCCTGAGATCCCTGGGCAGGCACTCATAAATGTTGCAACCTGGCAGCAACAAAAACATTTAAGCAAATAATTTTAGATTCAACATCTTTTTATGATAAAAACTTAGTATCCTTATCTTACAGAGTGATGGATGTTATTTCTCCAAGCTGCAAAACAAACGAGCCCCAGTGGAAAAACAACATAGGGACTGAACTTGGTCAATGGCAAAATAGGAAACACAACCCACAAACTTTTAATTTCTCTTCTGTGTTGCTGCAACAAAATTGTTTTACTTTCCCCATCCAACAGGCCAAAAAGTGCAATATTATTTGGCCATATTTATATGCTCAAAGTAAATGGAATTTCACAGTCCAGATGCTGGATTTTACCATCCCAAAAGACTTTCAGGGATGTCTGAAATCATATAAAACCTTTGTTCCGACCTGCAGGAGTAGAGGGTAACTGGATAGCACACATTAATTTCTATGTTTACAGTCCATGCAGTATTCAAATTCACTGACAATTAAAAGTATGCAATAAATGAATTAGCAGAAGAAACTCATGGCAGAAATTCAATTACAAAGCAGAATTAAAGGAAGAGATGTCAGAAACTTTTGGAGGCTGGGCAGGAAGAGGTGAGTGCACCAGTCTACTATTTTCAGAGTTGCTAGCAAAAAGCTTAAGAAGACTGCTCCAAAAAATCGTGTGTAAAGATCCTCCTAACAAAGAGAGCTTAATTGAGAGACCTGAGAAACCAAGGTGACAAATTATTTTTTCAGAACACATTTTGATCTGACAGGGGTAAAACTCCCTCTGAGGTGTCAGATATCACCCACCCCTGCCTGCCCTACAGGCATGCAGCTCTGCCATGTCCTACAAAATCCTTGGACAGGCCTTGGCTTGTACCAAAGGCACTGCAGACACCTTTACTTTTCTTTTGTCTTCTTTTTCAAAGTGATTTTAACCCCATTCCTTTTCTTTGAGTCATAGGCATTACATTTTAAGCAGATTTCCTTCTACTCAGTGGAGAAGCCTCAAGTGCTGTGGCCACTTTTCTTCCTGTATTGGTCACTATTTCACCCTGCCCTGTTCTAGCCTCCATTTGCACCCCTTTGGTTGGTACTATCCTTCATCAATCTTGATGCCAATTACCAATAAAACCCTCCCACACCTCTGAGGTTCAGCTTTCATAACTGCATTAAGACAAATCAATACTGTTATTAACATTGCCACGTTTGTGGATGGCGTGACCTGCCTGCAAACGCCGCACGCAGCAGCACAGATACTCCCAGAACTACATCAAGACTCTGCACTCCCTTATTTGCAATTTCTTTTTCAAATAGACTCTGCTATTTTATAAATAGGGGGTGGGTTTTTAAAAATCTTTTTCTTGCAAATACAAACCAATGAGGGCTTGTAGGACACACAGTTTTGCCATTCCCTTCACATGTGGGTAGCAATACTCCATGGACAGTCAAGAACTAATTGTCCTGTCGCTTTGCAATTGGGCTCAGTGATCACTGTAGGATCTTCACAACTGAGCTGCTCTATTCTACTCCAACTTTCCTCCAGTCCCCCCCAGCCAGCTCACCCATCACCCAGCACTGCGCCTCAGCCTTGGGTGTTCACTGCTGCACATGCTTGTGGATGCATCCAGACAGCACATGCAGCCATGCCAGCACGTGTGCTGGCTGACCAACTGCTCTGGAGGGTGTCACTGACCTCCTCCTCTAATGCACAGACTCTTCCCACTCACATCTCACCCCCTTCTGCTCCCCATCTTTCACACCAGGCCCCTAAGCCACCATGCCTGGAACCCACCTCAACATATGATTCAACCCAAAATGCCAGGAAAAACCCCACTTCTTCCCATCAGAAACAGAGGCCCCAAGGCCCCTACATTCCAGCAGAGCTGTTGGTCAGTTCATTCTGGCCACCAAAGGACAGTCACTGCCCAAGAGCACTGCCAACCTGACTCAAGAGAGCCCAGACACCATGGCAGCCCAGCACAGGCTCCTGGGCAGGTTTTCCAGCCCTTCCTGACCTCCAGGGTGCTACACTTAGGGAACTGGACACTGACTAATGTAAAAGCTTATTCAAGTGTTCTTCTCAATACCCTGCTGTGGCTGCAGTGCAGAAACACCTCGGACTGTGCATCACCTGAGAGGCTGGTACTGCTGAGAGAGATTGATGCTGTGTCCATAGCTGCCCTCCTTTTTCTGTCTCAGATTCCTCTAGCGGCACCTCTCCCGTTACCATTTCACCTGAGCAATGTGCTTGCAACACCCTCAGTAACTACAATAATAGTAAGAATGCCAGAGCATGGAGGAAACACCAGACACTGACAGTATCAGGAAATAGCAACAGGGAAGTGTTCAAAACATACTTCAGAGGCCATGTATTGCTTATTTGGAACA